GATTTCCTGAGGGGGAGACGAAAGATACTCAGCGCGGAAACACAAAAGAAGTACCTCCCGCCATTTCAACTCAAATTAATTAACAATGATTCGACGTCTTTCACCATAAGCATGCCATTACCGAGAGTGAATTCACAACGGCTCAAAACACTCGTAGTGAATACCTCCGAACCGTCGCCCTCTGGTGACAGGGTCAAGATGCAGACAACGGACAGCTCTTCGATTAGGCCCATAGTATAGAATGCCTTAACGCTGTCACTGCCAAGAATAACAGTTACTTGGTGCGATGATCTTCATGTTCGCGATGCAGCACTGATAATCGATCTGTGTTGTGAGTAAGAAGGGCTTCACTCGAAAGACCTTTATAAGAGGTGACACGAGTAATATGGGTTCCGTTGAACAGGCCTAGTTAAAAGATCTGAAGAATGTTTAGGCAACCGGTCAAATTAATAAATAATACGAGAAGAGAAAGGAACAGGAAGACCAAAAAATGGCGCGATATAGTAGAAAATGGTAAGAGATGCTTCAGGATGAACGAATGTGAATTCCTGTTAATGAAAAAAACGTCCAAAAGAAAGGGAAGGAACATAGAAAAGAGGGGAAAATAAAAAACAAGACAGAAATAATGTGTATGTTATTTGAATACCGGTCATGTGACCATCACCGTGTGGAAAAATTCTAAACAACCAGATAAAGAAATAAGAGAACCTCGCAGGAAAACGATGGTACTCCGCAAGGAATGCAATGCGACACATACGCAAATGTTGCTGTCACAGTCATCTAAGACAAACAAATATTGAACGACAGAGTAGCCAAAATCTGTTACGTCAGACATGTTTGAAACTGTCTCAGATTAATGCCGGAGATAGTTTTCTGCTGCGACAAATACCATAGTCCCATCGCAAACAATTCTCCTCCACCATGCTCCATCCCGCTTATTGTGTTCTGTAATAAGAGATTTGTTCTAAAAGGCCTGTCGTTACGGAAATCGTATTAACAGTTTAAAAATGCCTTTATTCTACACTCAAGGCTGAGTCAAACCATTTTTACTCATGAGGACCCGCAAGTGCAGTCGAAACTTGATCGTGTATTTAAAATACAGGTATTTTTAACTGTTAGATTGTACTACGACATGTTCATAAATCTGTATTAGCGACAAAGCATTTAAGGTAGGCGAAAATAGCGCATATGGCAGATCTGCCATACAAGGAGAAAAATGAGATGGCAAAACGACGGTATAATACACAATACAATATAGTCATTTATCCAGCGAGAGATCGATATCTTCGACCTTTCACTCCTTACTTCACTGGCTTTCTTCTGGGAAAACGTTGGGGATATGTATGGCAATTATTGGTGTAATACGTAGCTGCAGTTCGCTTTCAATAAAGAGGCCTTTTCAGACCACTATATTACTTTGCATATAACAAACCCATTCCCTGTACCGAATTTTTATATGACCGTCAATTCACATAAAATACTCTATTCTTCCAGGTAAGGAAGCGGTAAACTCACCCATGATAATTATAATTCTTGC